TACTGACTCTATTCTCCCATGCTATACTCTACAACCCCATGACTATTTTGTAACTACCAATTTGTACCTCTTAATCCCTCCTTCACACATCCTCCCGTCCCCAAATCTGACACTCATCAAAATGCTCTATGTATCTATGAGATTGTTGCTGTTGCTGTTGTTTGTTTATCCTGTTCTCTAGAGTCTACATATGACATTTGTCTTTGTCTGACTTACTCCACTCAGCACAATATCTTCTAGGTCCATCCATGTTGTTACAGATGTAAAGATTTCATTCTTTCTTTCTTTATTTTTATGGCTGAGTAATATTCCATTATATATGTGTACCTATTGATGAACACTCAGGTGGCATCCAAATCTTAGTTATTGAAAATAATGCTGCAATGAACATATGGATTCACATGTCCTTTCAAAGTAGTGTTTTGGTTTTTTTCAAATAAATACCCAGAAATGGGATAACTGGGTCCTTCTTTGTCCCTTGTTATAGCCTTTGTTTTAAAATCTATTTTGTCTTGTATAAGTATTGTTACCCCATCTTTTTTGGTTTCTATTTTCATGAAACATTTTTTTCATTCCTTTACTTCCTCCTTTGCGTCTGTGTGTCTTTTGATCTGAAGTGAGTCTCTTGTAGGCAGCATATGTAAGGGTCTTGTTTTCTTCACCATTCGGTCACTCTTTCTTTTGATTAGAGCATTTAATCTATTTATATTTAAAGTAATTGTTACTAGATATGTAGTTACTGCTATCTTATTATTATATTTATATCTTTTATCTTTTTTCTTCTTCTTCTCAAAGAATTTCCTTTAACATTTCCTGTAATACTGGCTTGGTGATGATGAAATCCTTTAGTTTTTTCTTATCTGGGAAGCTCTTTACCTGTCCTTTGATGCTAAATGATAGCTTTGTTCGGTAAAGTAATCTTGATTGTAAGTCCTGGGTCTTCATCACTTTGAATATTTTGTTCCAAACCCTTCTGGCCTGTAGTTTCTGTTGAGAAATTAGCTGACAGTCTTATAGGTGCTCCCTTGTCGGTAACCAATTACTTTTCTCTTGCTGCTTTTAAGATTCTCTTTTTGTCTTTAACCTTTGGCATTTTAATTGTGATGTGCCTTAGTGTGGGCCTATTTGGGTTCATCTTGTTTGGGACTCTCTGTGCTTCCTGGGCTTGTATGTCTATTTTCTTCACCATGTTAGGGAAGTTTTTAGTTATTATTTCTCCAAATAGGTTTTCAATCCTGTGCTCTTTCTCTCTCTTCTCCTTCTGCTACCCCTTTGATGTGAATGTTGTTACACATAATGCTGTCCCAGAGGTCCCTTAAAGTATCCTCATTTTTTTTTATTTCCTTTTTTTTCCCCCCTATTCCAATTGGGTGTTGTCTGCTACCTTGTCTTCCAAATCATTGATTCGGTCTTCTGCTTCACCTAATCTGCATTTGATTCCCTCTAACGTATTCCTAATTTTGGTTATTGTATCTTTCATTTCTGACTGATTCTTTTTTAAGGTTTCTATCTTTTTGTGGAAGTTCTCACGGAGTTCATCTATCTTCCCCTAAGTTCATTGACCATCCTTATAACCAGTGTTTTGAACTCTGTATCTTTTATTTGAGATTTTTTTTGCCTCCTCATTTTGGCTGACCCCCTATATTTGTTTCTATGTATTAAGTCAATCTGCTACATCTCCCAGTGTTGGCAGGGTGGCATTATGTAGTAGGTATCCTTTGGGATCCAGTGGTGTAGTATCCCTGGTCACTTGAGCCAGGTGCTCCAAGGGTATCCCTTGAGTGTGTTGTGTGTGACCTCATCTTGTAGTTGAGCCTTGATTGCTGTTGGTACATCACTGTGTGAGACTGACCCTCAGGGTGTTTGGCTATGAGGACTGGCTGTAACTACAGTGGATGAGCTGTTGTGTGGGGGTTGATCCCACAGAATGGGATTTTCAATAGTGGGACTCCAGTGTCTGCTGAGTCCACCCCTTGGTTGTGTCATTTGTGTAGCTAATTGGGTCAATCTCTGGTGCGGTCTAAAGCCAGCCACTGGCTGTGTTGCTTCTGGATCTCTTGGGAGGAGCTCCAGTGCAGGACCAGATCAGCCACTGCCTATGACCAACGTGGGGCCACCTGGTAGGAGCTACAAAGTTAGCTGCCTGTGCTGGGCTTGCAGGTGCCTGAGAGAGGCTAGCTGCCTGTGCTGGGCTTGCAGGTGCCTGAGAGAGACCAACTGCCACTAGTGCCAGGCTGCGGGCTGCTTAGCAAGAGGTACAGGGTGGAGCAAAAATGGCATAGATGATACAGGCTTTGTCCATCCCTCTTGTGACCGCATCAAAGTTGGAACAAAATCACGGAGCAAACAGTAAGTAAATTCACCTGGGATCTGGATGAACAGAAGTACAACAACTAGGGAGAGAAATAATTAATCACCCTGCAATGGTAGAAGGTAAGAGGAAGCAAAGACATGAGGCTGCCTGGTCCCAATGGCCGAGTGGGACAGAGGCTGTGGCAATGGCAGCCAGCATCTGCATATGCCTCTTAAAGGAGTCATGTCCACATGTGGACTTTCGCAGTGATGGACCTGCTTGCTCTGAGCATCAGCACCAGACTACACAGGGGGCACCAGGGACTTACAGGGGGACACTGAGTTGTCAGAGTGAGGGCCAAGGTGAGACCCACTCTGTACAGAAGTGCTGGCGGTATCCATTGTTCCTCTGTTGAGCCTTCCTGCTCTCAGTGTGCGGACTCAGCACTGCCATAGTTGAGACGTCATCAAACCGGGTAACAGAGGTTGCTCTGCCCAGAGGATTCCCTGAAACTCCACCTCTTTCAACTTGTGGCCCCAGCCAACCCACATCCAGGTGTGTCCTCCACAAGTCTGGTGCCCCTTGCTGAGCAGTGCCAAGACTCAGCTGCCGCCATAACTGGTGGCAGCTGGCCTCGGTTTCTGGTGTGGCCTGTTGAGGCAACTATAAGCTTGCTGAATCTTAACAGGTGGCCCCAGAGGGGCACAGACTGGGGCTAGCCTTGGCCTGTAGCTAAATCCCTCTCAGGATTATGCCACTGGAAATCTACTACACAAAACCGCACTAATAAGACTGGGAGACTTAAGAGCTTTGCTTAGTACCTAAAAACAGACACAGAAAGGCAGCCAAAATGGGAAGACAAGCAGAAACCATGTGAGAGAACAAAACAGAGCAGAACAGAGATCCAGAAATAATGGAGTCAAGCAATCTAACAGTTGCAGAGTTCAAAACACTGGTTATAAAGATGCTCAATGAACTTAGGGGAAGTGTAGATGAATTCAGTGAGAACTTTAACAAAGAGATAAAAAAAAAACCATAAAAATGAGAATGGAAATTATAAAAGGGAACCAGTCAGAAATGAAGAACACATTATCTGAGATGAAGAGGATATTAGAGGGAATCAAGAGAGTGGATAAAGAAGAGATTCAAACCGCTGATATAGAGGACGAGGAAGACAAGGACACTTGATCAGAATGACAAGAAAAAAGAAGCCAAGACTATATTTAAGAAGCCTATGGGACACAATTCAATGTAAAAATATCTGTGTCATAGAGGTAACTGAAGGAAAATAAGAGGTTGAAGAGCTATTTGAAGAAATAATGATGGAAAACTTCCCTAACCTGGTGAAGGAAATAGACATACAAACCCAGGAAGCTTAGAGAGTCTTGCAAAAAATGAATCCAAAGAGACCTACACCAAGACACATTATAATTAAAATGCCAAAGGTTAAATACAAAGAGAGAATCTTAAAAGCGGCAAGAGAAAATCAGTTAGTTACCTACAAGGTAGTATCCATAAGACTGTCAGCTGATTTCTCAAAAAAAAAACAACTATGCAGAACAGAAGCACTTGGCACAAAGTATTTGACATGATGAAAACTCAGGATCTACAGCCAAGAATACTTTATCCAGCCAAGCTATCATTTAGAGTCGAAGGACAGATAAAGAGCTTCTCAAAAATAAGCTAAGAAAATTTATCACCACCAAGCCAGCATTACAGGAAATGTTGGAGGGACTTCTTTAAGAAGAATAACATGTATCAAAAACAGGAATAAAGAATGATAATAACTACATTCCTATTAACAAGTACCTCAAATGGAAAATAATTAAGTGCTTCAACCAAAAGATAGAGTGGCTGAATGGATAAGAACGCAAGACCCGTACATATGCTATCTACAAGAGACTCACTTCAGTTTAAAAGACACACACAGACTAAAAGGAAGGGATGAAAAAAGATATTGCACTGATGACCTAAAGGGTATTACACTGAATGAAATAAGTCAGATAAAGACAAATGTTGCATGATTTCATGTACATGTAGAATCTAAAGAATAAAATAAAGAGCAACAAAAACAGAAATAAACTCATAAATACAAGAAATATTTTGAGGGCTACTAGATGGGAGGGGAGTTGCAAGGATGGCAAAAAGAGGCAAAGGGATTAAGAAGTACAAACGGATAGTTACAAAATAGATATGAAGATATAAAGGGTAGCATAAGGAAAATAGTAATTTTGTAATAAATATGTAAGGGAGAAGAGGTTTACTAGATTTAGTGTGGTGATCACTTTGTGAATTATGTAGATCTCTAATCACTATGCTGTACAACTGAAATATATTATTGTATTCCAACTATAACTGACAAAAACTCATTGAATTGTACAATGTAAATATGAGCAACTAATTGTCTATTATATATTTCGATAAAGCTGGAAAGAAAAAAAAACGATATAGGGCATGCTGAGGACAGCCACTGCTTGTTTGGGGTTCGTAGACCTCTCGTAGATTTTTAGGAAAGTCTGCTGCACATTCTGAGGCTGGCCACTTGTTTGGAACCAACACTGAAAGAGCTTCAGGCCTGTGTGCAAGTTGGATGAGGCAAATTCTCAGAGCATGACCAGGGTGGGGCAAACAGTGTTAGTCATTAGCCAGCTGGTTTGGGGGAGGACTTGACAAAGGAACAGTAACACCGGCCTGACCAGAGCCACCCCTCCAGCCCTCTCCCTGAAGCCAGATAATTCACTTCCTCTCCGCTAAGTACCTGGAAGTTTTTGAACTGCTACACCAGCACAGGAGCTCGGTGTAAGTGAGTCCGTCCCTAAGTAAGTTTGTGTGTAGGCTTTTTGAAAGGAATGCCTGGGACTCCAGCAGCCCTCCATCTCACCTGGACAGAATCCTCACTGATTTTCACAACCAGATGCTGTGGGGATTTCTCTTCACAACACTGGTGATCTGTGTTGGGGAACCCAGTGTGGGTCTGAGACCCCTTTCTCCTCAGGGGGGACCTCCGCCGCCAAGATAACCCTCCAGATTTTTAACTATCACACACGGTTGTGGAACCAGCCCAGTTTTCATCTCCACCCCTTCTGCCAGTCTTCACATGGCTTCTTCTTTACATCTTTTGCTATAGGAGTTCTGTTCAACTATTCTTCAGATGGTTCTCAAGGGTGATTTTTCTATAATTTATTTGTAATTTTGAGTGGAGGCAAGCATAGCATTTACCTACTCTATCATTTTGACTGGAAGTCTAACATATAAGTTAAATGTAAAAAAAAAAAGTAAGTATTGATAGGTATGGACTTACTATTGGCATTTTATTATTTTTAACTATTTTGTTTCTTGCTTTTTTGTCCTCTCTTCCTTTTTTCTGTATGATTTAATGATTATCTGTAGTTGTATGTTTTGTGTTCTTTGTCTTTATCTTTTGCATATTTATTATAAGTTTTTGTTTTATGTCTATCATGAGGCTTACATAAAATGTAATTATGTCTATTTTAAGCTTATAACAATTTAACTTCAAATTCCTACAGAAGTTCTATATTTTTACACTCACCTCCAGATTTTATGTTTTGCTTAGAATTTATATCTTTTTTTATATCATGTATTCATTAACAAATTATTATCATTATAGTTATTTTTAATATGTTTGTTTTTTATCCTTTATACTGGAGTTGTAAGTGATTTATGCATCACCATTGCAATATTAGAGTGTTCTGAATTTAAATATATATTTAACTTTACTAGTGAATTTCATACTTTTATATTTTCCGGTTACTTATTAGCTTCCTTTCGTTTCAGCTTGAGTAACACTTTAACATTTCTGTTAGGCCAGTCTAGAGATGAATTCTTTCAGCTTTCTTTTGTCTAGGAAACTCTTTATCTCTCCTTCAATTCTGAATAACGACTTTATCAGGTGGAGTATTTTTGGTTGGCAATTTTTTCCTTCAGCTGATAGTCTTATGGGGGTTCCCTTGTATGTAACGAGTCACTTTTCTTTTACTACTTTTAAGATTCTCTCTTTGTCTTTAACTTTTGAAAATTTAATTATAATGTGTCTCAATGTGAGTCTCTTTAAATTAATCTTTTTTGTGGGGGTATTCTTTAGGCTTTCTGGATCTAAATATCTTTTTCTTTTCCCAGATTAGCATATTTTCAGATATTACTTCTCCAAATAAGTTTTCTACCCATTTCTCTTTTTCTTCTTTTACTCCCCTATAATGCATATATTGGTCACTTGATAATGTCCCATAGTTCCCTCAATTATTTTTTATTTTTTTCACTCTGTTTGTTTGTTTGTTTGGATAATTTCCACTGCCCTCTGTTTGAGCTTGCTGATTTTTTCTTCTTTTTTTAGTTTGATCAATCTGCCCACCAGCTCTATTAAATTTTTTTTCAGTTTAGTTATTGTGTTCTTTATCTCTATGATTTATGTTTGGTACATTTTTATATTTTTTTATATCATTTTGAAATTATCACTTTGTTCTTGACCTTGGTGAGCATTTTTATGACTCTTGAACTTTCTATCAGGTAAACCACTTGTTTTCATTTCATTAAGGTTGGTTTCTGGAGATTTATCTTGTTCTTTTGTTTGGAACATATTACTTTCTTTCTTCATTTTTCTTGACTATCAAAGTTAGTTTCTGCGCATTAGACAGCAACATAACAGCCACTTCTCCCAGTGTTAACAGATTGTCTTCATGTAGTAGATAAACCCTGTCAATCAGTCAGTCCATCCTGATCTCCTTGTTGCCTCCCAAACCCTTGTGATTGCCCAAGCCACTCTCTTTGTTTCTAGTGGCTCTCTGTACTGAGAGTATGCCAAAAATCCATTAGTATCTCAAAGGCATGCGAAATTCCCATAGACTTGTTCAGGTTCCTGGAGGATGACTAATTGCTTACCCCCTCAACTACGCTTTCTAGACTAACTGAAAGGTTGACCTTCAGGTAGCATCTGGGAAAGTCAGGACACTAGATATGCAATCTGGCCCTTATAAGGGAGTAACTGGAAGATTGTGGTTTTTTTGCCTATTCACTCTGTGCTGAGCCAGTGGGAGTAGTCTCAGGGAATGTTTGTGTGACCAGATAGAACTGCCTCGTTATTTTATGTGGTCCTAAGGGATTTGTGAATGCCAAGCCCCACAGCTCACAGAGCTAGATAATTTGAGGGTCAGGTAGCAGCTATAACAATTGGGGCACTAGAAGTGTGGGCAAGCTCCTCCCAGGGAGAAGCTGGATTATTGGTTTTACTGTTAGAATAAGCCAGAAGGAGCTGGTGGGAAACATGTCTGCCAGCTTTTTCAGGCTCCTGGTAGGATCCCAACTAGATCCCATATGCAGGCTGATTATAAGCTAGAAACTCGGGCAGCAGCTGGGAATATATACCATTAAATCTTCTTCAGAGAAACTAGGAGATGTGTTTTTGCCTGCTACATCTTCACTGAGCCTGGAGTGGGGCAACATGATTCTGAAACATTTAACATTGTTTCTTTGTTCACTATAGTACTGTGGGTCTTGGGAATGCAAGAGTCAGCTGATTTGGGGGTCTATCTCTTGCATTAAAGCTATAAAATTTGGAGTGCTAGGTGTGTGGTCCAAACCTTTCACTCTCAGGGAAAAGTTGGGAGTTGGAGGTTTCCTCTTGATTGTAAGGTGCCATTCCAGGGGTAGAGTTTATGGTGAGAGTGTGTCTCAGCCTTTTCTACTATTTCAGTGTGTGTATTTTCTTAGTTGCTCAATGTGTAGGAGTCCCTTAAGTAGTTTCTGGATTTCTTTTAGAGAGATTTGATTTGTGTGTAGCTGTATATTTAGTGCATCCAGGGAGTAGGAAAATTCAGGAACCTCCTATCTTGGATATCTTGGTGATGTCCCAAAAGGGTTTTAACTTGAGTTGGCTTGCAGCATTTCAGGTTTGTTTATAAACTCCGGTTCCTCAATTTCTCAGTCTTTGAGCATGTCCTGTGCATGTGGTCTAGTACCTATTTTTCTAGACTTTAGCACCTGCTCAGATTGCAAACATTTGGAAAATCACATCTATGAGCAAAAGAGATGCTATTAGTGATTTTATATGAGAGAGAGGAGAGAATTTAGAGAATTTACATTACTTTCTAATAGCAAAAAATAAAACCAAATAAATTCCTATTAACATTTTAATTCTTCCTAATGTATCTCTTCTCAGCCTCACAGAAGTTGACTCTGGATTCTACCCTTGCAAGGTGTTAAGATATCTGTGTCTATGCCTATATTTGTATCTAAATCTATGTCTTTATTAATATACATCTATGCAGAGTTTTCCCCCCTTATCTTCATTTACATATGAAAATTCTTTTACCCAACTTACTATTTACAACTTTGATTTCCAAGTGTCAAAGGTTAATATTAAACCGTTATTATTATTTAAAATACTAATTAAATCAATTACTAATTATAATTTGCATTTTGTATAATGTCTAATTATTATTATAACAATAAACAATTATTAATTAGTCAAAATAATAATATTAATTAATACAAAGAATGATACTCTAGAAGAAGAGTATCCAAGAAGACAATAGGAACTGTGACTTTAAAATGTTATTCTAAAAATGTTATACTGTAGCATTTAAAATATACTCTTTTAAGATGGCATTTATGTCTTGATAGATAAGATTGTCTTTAACCCATCACTAATTTCTGTTCTACTTTTAGAGCCTTAAACAGTGCTCGCTACACAAGAGATAGGCAGTGAATACTTCTACTTAAACTGTGAAGATTTGATTAAAATTTTATTATCAGCTTTGAGAGCACTGAGAGAGAGGGGTGACAGAATATCCACACTCTGCTCTTCATGTTCCTCCTTCTTCTCCTACATGCTCTTAGTCTTCCCCTATGGCACTGTCATCTCTGTGATCCATTTCCAAACTCTTTTCAAGGACAGGTGGCATTCTCCAGTAAATAAAAGAAAATTAAGAAACTTAAGAAAGGAAATTGCCATCCCCACCCAGACCACACGGAATGGGGATGGTGTGGACCCTCGGCAGTGGATCTATAGACCTGAAAAAGAGAAATCTGGGTTGGATAAAACAGAAACAATTCTCTTGGTCACACAGATTAATGGAATTCTTTGTCTCCTGGGTAAGGAAGATTTGGAATTTGACAGCGTAATATCTCCATAGCTAAGTAGGAAGCACACACCAATGCCGTAAGTCCTCACTTAATGACAGGCTTTTGGCCACAGACTGGCATATAGTGAAACCAGTTTCACCATAGGCTAGTTGATCTAAACAAAAGTTAAGTTCTTATCGCATATTTCTGGTCACAAGAACATCATCAAAATTCTATTTAAAGACTCAAAACACTTCTAATATTAAACACTGAAATAAATGTAAGCTATATATACATACATTTAGGAAAGATTGAAAAACAATTATTATTTTCCAACCCACTTATTGCAGTTTAGGGTCATGAGTGGCTGGAGCTATCCCAGCAGTTCCAGACACAAGGCAGAATGTCAGTTCCATTGCAGGGTGCGTGTGCATGCACACACACACACACACACACACACACACACACACACTCAGGCTTGGCCAATTTAGACACACCAATTAACCTAACATGCACATCTTTGGAATGTGGAAGGAAACTGGAGTACTCAGAAAAAACCCACACAGACATGGAGAGGACGTGCAAACTACACACAGATAGTGGCCCTAGCCAGGCATCAATTTTTTTCTCTAAAACGTTATAACAAAACAACATTGAATGAAACAGTGTTATTCAAGAACTTACTGTAAATTGTGCACATGACTCATTACAGAGCTCTCATTTTGACAATGTCTTCTGTGGAGAGGCAGCACAGTGCAATGATGTCCAGTAACCCCGTGTGAAACTTCCCAATCCAGAACCAGTTCCTCAGACAGTTCCTCTTGCTTCCTTCTCCTAGGCCCTTCACTGAACCATTTATTATGTTACCAGAATAAAGGCTTTTTAACATGAGAATTTCTGTCTTTCATAGGACTGAGGACTGAGGTTTAGGATCAGGGATGTGTAGAGAATCAGTTTGGAGGCATCTGAGAACTAATTAAGGCTGACTGGCATTAGGAAATGAGATGACCTCTCCGGCTTGGTGCTTATCTGAGGAGTCACCCTATAGCTATTTGCTTTGCTGTCACTTTTGATTTCCCATTGAAAAGAGGAACATGAAAGTGGATTAAGCAAGATTAAATGTGTATTTAACAAAAGGCAGAAATGAAAACTGGTTATTCCAGCAAAAAAAAAGTATAAATCTTGATCAACAAAACTACCTCAAAGGGTCAAAGTATCTTGCTCAAGGCTGCTTGGCTATTAAGGGATGGAGTTGCAACCATAATCAGGTCTACCTGCCTCTGACATCTATGCTTTTAGCCTCTGCACTGTAATAACTTTTGTAAGAATGGTTACAGGAACGTCTATAAAAGCACTAGTTGAAGTTCCAAGGCAGAGCGCCACCAGAAACACAACGGCAGCCAGGGCCAGCTTCTGTACCAACAGGACATAGACAGCCAGGCAGAATGCAGACAGCATAGACAGAGTACAGAGTGTTCTTTCTGTGGAGTCCACGTTTTTGGCTGCTGTCACCTGTCCTCTTTCTTGGATTTCTCATTTCTGGTACCTAAAGAATGACAGGCCTTTACAGCTTTGTCATGTCCTGAGGGAGGCCATTACTCAGGTGTCCTGCCTGTCTCTCAGCATGCACAAGGGCCCTCAGTCTGACACAGTTGTTGTTGTTATTTAAAAAAGCATTTAGGATATTTTTCCTAACAGTAATTAGAATGTTTTTGCAATTTTGAGAGTCTGTGACCAAAAAAAATTAATAATCACCAATATAAATAATGGAATATTTTTAATATAGCATATGATTAAACTCCTATAGTTATAGTTTATGGTCTCTGGAACAACCTATTCTGTCTTCAGATTTTTCTCATGATGAGTTAAAAAAAGTTTTCCTGTAGTGTCCATATGAAGGTATTGTTACCTCCTCAGGAGTCCCACAAAGCAATTTTTTTATATGTGCCTGAAGAGTGCTTATGCTTCCTCTGCCCCAAGTCCTGAATCTATTCCTCATTTTGAGCTCCTTCTCAGTTCTAGACACGAATGAGAGAGGCAGGTAAACAAATGAGAACAACAAAAGGGAATTAATGCTCTTATTTACAGGTTTTTAACAGATTCACACAGGAAAGAACAGCCAAACCCACAAGCATTCTGCTTTCTAGATCAATTGCTTATAGAAAATCAGCCCAAGAGAGCCCTAGTCATTCTGGCATCCAGAATGCCAGTCTTTATCTTCTCCCACCCAGGAAGCACACCTCAGTGACTCTCACCTGTGAGCTCAGCCCCACACAGTTTCTAAGCCAATTCTATGTAAGATAGGTGCATATTAAAAGCCTCATCCCATCAAGAGTAACTGGCATGAGTCTTCCTTAAAAAAGAATCTATCTTCTTATTATGGTGGTAGACCCCTGATTGACTTGGTATCCTATTAGCTCTTTAAATTTTCCTTTGATTATGTAAACTCCAGACAGACAGAATATTTATTTCCTGGCAGTTTTTCCTTTTGGAGACTATATGGCCTTTACTCCCCTGCCCAAACAAGACATTGTGGATATAATGGACAAGACATAGTGTTTCTGTTTATTATTTAGACTCTGTCATGTTCTTTAGCTGTCAATAGAGTCATTCATTTATTCACAGAGTCAACAATCATTTATTGCATGTCAAGCATTGGAAATATAAGGGAAAACAACTCAGATGGCTTCCTACTCTCAGATATCTCTACTTTCACACAGATTTGGGCTTCCCCACCCCCTGTATCCCTCACAATCTCCCTTATTTGGATAAACCTCCTACTGATAACCTCTTCTTAATACCTTGAACTTCTCAGCCTCTAAAACTTCCAACTTCACTTGCTTTCAGTTCTCTGACTTGGGACTTGTTATTACCTAGAATTGCTTCTCCCCTAAAACCTTAAACGCTCCTCTCCAAATCGCTGAACAACTTTCTATCCCTCAAAATTTCTACCACTTCTCTCCCTTGCTCAGTGAGATCTCCTTTCTTACAACTTATTTTTGTTTTCACCTTTTGTCACCCAATTTCCTGATATTCCCTAAGTCTTATAGCTCACTTGAGTTGGTCTCTCAGCTTGCATCCCCTGGATTTATCAGCCTCCAGACATATTTTGCTTACAAATCTCCAACTCTGAATCAGTCAGGCCGGTAATCTCACACAAGATCCTCTGACTGCAACTTGAGAGGACCTCACAACTGGGCATATTGGTGCCACTTACAAATCCAGGTTTATACCTCAATGCTGAAAAATAGTCACATTACTTGCCTTTATCCAGGTTCCCTTTTCTTCTCAGTGATTATTTCAGACCTTTACCACTTTTAAGCAGCACCCTTTCCCATACAGCCTTCCTGGTTCCTGTTAAGCAATGTTTCACTCCCCCATAACACTGTGACTAAGAGGTGTAGTCTTCTACTTTGCACCTACCATTGTTGACATTTATCTTTATTTTCTATCATATTTTTCTCTTCTAGAAATCTGGAAATTGTCTTAAACCGCTAATTACCCTCATGTTCACATCAAAAAAGCAAAGTCTTCTTACAGATTTTACAATTAATTATCTCTCATATCTGTTCCCTTCCTTCAACATCCCGCACCACCTTGTCAGTTTAGACCCTCCTCTGCTCTCTCTAGACTGGTGCAGTGGTCTTTTCATGAGCCTCCCTGGTTCCAGACTTCCCCTATTCCAATTCCTTCTCCACACTTCGTCAGAACACATGCTCTAAAATACATAATATCCTTCAGTGGCTTCTAGTGCTCTTGGGATAATGCCCTTTTTGACTGAAAAAAAAAAAGCTTCCTTTTCCTTTCTTCCTGCTTTTGACTATTAATAAAATAAATACTATGTTGGGGAGAAAGATTTTATTTTTTCCCTCTTTTTCTTTCATTCAGATTTTCAAAAGAGAGGAGGAGAAATATATCTGAATTTTGAGGTCTGAGCTCTATAGTGAGTTTATCCACATGAAGTTTTTCTCCTTCAAGTGTAAACTTCGTATGGCAGGTCTGGCTCCTGAAGGCTGTAGGTAAATGCATAGGATCTTGGATCCCAGTTGCAATCTAATTTAGATTTATCAACAGTACAGTTGACATTTGACCCTTTCTTGAATTATGGATCTGTTACTTCATCATTTCAAAATCTGGAAACAGAAGGATATGAGTAATTAGCATTCACAAACCCATTTATAATAGACTCTTCATCATCTGGACCCTGTTGATACTTTCATATCATCTAGTGTCTGTGCCTTTCCACACTAATATCCCCTAACACCTGACCATCAAGCAGGCTGTGATTCAGCCATTCCAAACTACCTGTCATTGCCTAAATGGGTAATTTGGCAATTTATTTGTGTGCATATGCATAACAAAGTCTTTTTTTAAGTTCTTCCTCTTCATTCTACTCATTTTTTAACTCTTTGTTAAGTGTTGTCATCTCTGTGTAGTCTCTGATTAGCCCAAGTAGAGGTTACCATTCCCACCATTGTGTTCCCAAGTTTCTTATACTTTCCTCCCTTATAGCTGTTTTCATATGCTATTAAAACTACTAGACCATATCCTTTTGGAGTACCAAACTATTGCTCATTCAATATTTTCCCTTCGCCCATCATATTCACCTGGTATTCATGGCTGCTAAAAATTTTTACTTAAAACAATAATAAGTAAATGAAGAAATATAGGATAAAAAATGACTCCCAATAATGAACTTATCTTTGTGCAGAGTGACCTGAATATTATAAAGAAGCTAAGATATTTTCTCGTAGTGGGAAAATTACCCTGCTCGAAACAATAGGGAATGATGTTAGTATATGTAGCTGAGTGCTTGAGTAGTCTGGAGTTGAATAGCCCTTGAAGCATAGCTATACTCAATAGCAAGTGAGGGCAACTTGGGAATACTGAAGGTCTTGTTGCTCAGTGTCTGTCTATCATATCTTAGACTTAAAAATGACTTGATTTTACTGCCATAGGGACATGTTTCCACTCAGCTTCCAAAGAAGGGCATAAACCAGGAAAAGCACAAGAGAAGAGCGGATCCATGTACTAGGTTCTCTACTTAGCACTGGAAAAGCTGGTTTGAAGGAAATAAAGCCAGCCCTTAATATCTTGACTCTGGATTATGGTTTTGATTCCGTATTATGGTGCCTCTAGAGGCAATTCTGAATTTATTCTATGATATCTGGCTTCTATATTCTCTAGGCACTTCCATCCGGAGTGAAGAAATCCAAATTGGTTGATTGCCCCATGAACTGCACATGGAGATAAAGCATTGCCTGATTTTCTAAAGCGAAAAGGCCCACTCTTAGTACCTGCCTTTCCTAGGGACAGCTTTCTCCTGTTTACATAATAAAGAGGCTGAAGAAAAGATGAGTGGGGCTGAGATTACAGCACAACCAAGTTATAACAGCTTGGGTTCTTTGGTTGTTTTCAGTATCTTTCTGCCAGTTCCGGCCACTGCCCTTCCTGTGGGGATGTACAGAATTCAGCAAGTCCAGCTCTCTGAGGTCTGCCTCCTGAGCAGACCTGTTTCTGGTCATCTGATAATGCCTCTGCTGCAGACAAGACCTTCCTTCTTCCCTCCTCTCAGCACAGTTGCAGTCAAAGCTGAATATTGCTGCTCTGGGACCTCCTTCTAGCCTTAAATTTCAGCCTGTTGTTTTCAGCTCTGTCATGGATCTGCTCCTCTTGATCTTTGGTGAGTATTTCTGCTACTGTTGGTTTAGGCCTCAGAGTACTCTGGAACTTTGATCAGAAGAATCCTCTCCTTACCCATCTGGTGCAGATTCAGGTATTTTTCAAGGAGAGGCTTCTCCCTCTTCTCCTTTTTTTCAATATCTGGTAACTGTTCTAAATCCCAAAAGCCACTTACTCCATACTCAATTTATATTCCACTTCGATTACCAGATATTTTTCTATTTTCCTGTATTTACACTGACAAATTTATAATAGCTTATCCCACCTTCCTTTTTACATAATTTTTTTCTAAATGTACTATTTTCGGAAAGATAAATAAATGGACTGTGGGTATCAGCAGATAGAATAGAAAAAGGAAGTCAGCTGCAAGACAAACACCTTTCATTGTCCAGTTTCCTTGCAAAAGTGTTTCAAATAATATTTCCTTAGTTTTCCCCAGCTCCTTATGACCTGGATTAATTTAGAGTGAAAGGGGATTTTGGAGTCAAAGGGACATGATTTTCAATTTTTGGTCTTAAATTTCTTAGCTGTCTGAATTTTAAGTTACTGTATCTCTCTGAAATCTTTTTTCTCATTTATGAAATAACGGTAATATATTCCTCAAAGGTTTATTAGGAGCCCTTTCATAAGATTACTAACTTGATGGCTAAAAATGCCTGCTATGTCCTCTCCCTAATTAATCATATCCATTTGTATTGTGTTGATGATTCAGTGCATCACAAAGGCTCACACTGATCTCTTAGTTGGACAGTTATGTGCTCTATGTAGACTGCTGGCCATATTCTTAAACATCTATACAACCCTTATATCATCTAACAGCCAGTCTTGCCTGTGATGATCATGCTATTGAATCTCCCAGGCTTACCTTCAGTCCAACCTCCTTTATGAAGCTTTTCTGTGCTACCCACAGTTATCTACCCTACTACAGAGCTTTCAAGTCCCGTTTGGGTTATATCACTTTCACACTGCATATCTGACTCAATACATTTAGTTTCCTTTACATATACGTATGTTTTGTTCATTATTAGACATGTGGGATGTAATATATAATATAACCTTGTCCTAGGCAGTTGTAAACAAGGTCTCAGTCTAGGTGCAGTCACATTCTGAAGATCAAGGGCATAAAATTATTTTTAAAATTATTTAGAAACCATCTACAGCCATGCTACCCTGAACAAGCCTGATACCATCTGATCTCAGAAGCTAAGCAAGGTTGGGCCTGGTTAGTACTAGGATGGGAGACTACCTAGGAAGACCAGGTGCTGTAGGTGTAAAAAATAAAAAATAAGAGATTGTAAGCTGACAAGGTCCTTGCAATCTGTGAGGTCAACCAAGGGTTGTTTGGCCTAAAAAAAAAGAAAAAATTATTTGGAAACCAATGGGAGAAATATTTCAGAACAAGCAACTGAAATACTTGGATCTTCCTGGAAAGCTCTAGGTTTGAGGTCCAAAGATAGCTCCTTCAGAAATATCCTATAACATGCAGTGGTGTCAGTAGGAGTGGACAATGAGTTCTAAAGTTCAAAATGCCTAGGCCTCAAGGACTGCTAACAGTCACAGAGTTCAGGATTCTGCACAACACCAGGAAGGAGCCTAATGGATAGAGGAGTCAAATTACACAGCTAGCCTCCAGGGAGAAATCCTGATGCTTCAAAGATGTGCTGGTGCTTAATCTGGGGGTTTTGTTACGGGAAAGTGGGTTTCTTCTCCCCGTGCATTATCCAGGTTCTTGATGTCTCAAACAAAGAATTGAGCAAGACACTGAAATACAGTAGAAAAGAAAAGTTTTTTAGAAGGGAGAGTACACTTCCAGACGTGGAAGCAGAACTTAGCAAGAGAAGTGTGGCTCAAAAGGCCTGGTAACAAAGCCTTTGGAGATTTTTATCCCTATTTGCTGTGGTTGGTTACTTTTCTTAGAGGCGTGGGTTTCCTTGATTGACAACTAAGATTGACAGGACTGAGTGATTCATCATTTTGCTTTCTACGCAAGTTTGTTCCCAGAATTCAGTCTGTTATAATGATATTAATGAACTTCCGAGCATATGCATCACATTATAATAATGGTGTAATGAGGCTCAGGTTAGTTGAAGGTCATTGGGGGTCTTCACTGCGCAGGTGCGAGTGACTGGCTTAAATTAGTACCTAATTCTCTGCCTACTTGTTTCTTTGTGTGAGTTAAAAAATCCCTTTTGGTTTACTTAATTGTGGGTAGATTAGGGCGGACCCTTTCTAGGATAGGATGACCTCAGAGTCTTTGCAGGCAGACCCGAAACCTCCTAACTAACTTTTCTGCCTAACTCTTTTCTAAGAATCATGAACCCCCTTATTATTAGTATGGACGTTGAAGGATGGGAGGTCTCTTCTTCCATATCTGCTTCCTCCTGATGAAGAGGAATTTTCTACTCAAATGGCTAACATTGTAATCTGTAGACATGCTTGCCACATAGGGCAAAGGGGCAGGTGACCTAGAGATCAACTGAAGACTCACCCTACCCTTTGCTTGTTCAGTCTAGATAACAGATGTATTACCTTTGCTTGTTAAGAACAGATACATTGCCTTTGCTTGTTAAGAACAGTTGTATTGCCTTTGCTTGTTAAGCCCTATAAAAGTAAGGTTACCCCTAAGCTTGGGGTCCAGATCTTCAGAGTGCTAGCTCTTCTGGGACTGCTGGCATAATAAACCTGAGTTCTCCAACTCTCCAAGTGGAGCTTGGTTTCTCGTTGGTCTTGTTTCACAACATTTCTGCAACACTGAGAATGGCCCTGCCTTTTGGGGTTTCATGGAGCTCTTTACCTTTCTGCCTCAGTCAGGGCGGGGTCTTGGGTTTCCTACTGAAGAGCCACCTCAGTCCCTAGGCAAGGAAAAGAAGATACAAACTTATTATTTAAATCATATATCTATTAATTTCTATTATTGATTTGCCTATTGAGTAAAGGGAGATAGGCTTGGTTAATATATTTCTTAAAGAGTGAAAAAAAGACCTTTGGCCTAAAGTCCTCTCCCCTCTCTGACTCTAAGGGCCCTGTTTGACTTAACAACATTTCTGCTAACAATGAGCTGACGATCCTTATCAATAGCCAGAGGATCTGAGTCACCAGTTTGGGGCAATTATCAGGATTTGAGAGAGAGGGCCTTTTTCTCTAAGAAAGGAAGAAAACTTAACCGGGTTTACTAAAAAGATTAACTCTGCAAGAGATGTCCCATTTCATTTCCTGCAAAAAATTAAGAATTTTACAAGTGATGTCCCTTCTTGGTTTGGAACTAAATATAGAGCTGCTTTCTAACTTGTTTGGGGGTCAGCAAACTACATCCTACAAACTAGGAATAGTTTTTACAATTTTAAATGATTGGAGGAAAATCAAAAGAAAAATATTTTGTGACACATAAAAATTACATGAAATCTAAATGTCAATGTCCATAAATAAAAGTTTATTGGAATACTATCATGCTCTTTTATTTACATATATATCGCTGCTGTCATGCTACAGTGGCAGATTGAATAGTTATAACACAGATCATATGGCCTACAAAGCCTAGAATATTAACAATCTGGCCCTTTATGGAAAAAGTTTGCTGACCCTGGTCTAAATACAGTGCCAGTGAACACAGACAAATTCTGCCAATTTCTCCTACTCTCTTTGCTGCCCCACCAGTGCATCTTCTCAGTGGCCTCTAGGATGCTTTCTTGTTGAGCCCAGAGGCTGTATCACCACACTTCTAATTCAGGCAGGAATCACCAATCAATCTAATTGACTAGAATAGAAAACCAAATCTATCTATGCTTGGGGTAGGGCCAACGTAAAATGATGGGTCAGCTAGCTGTGGTAGAATTGATCTCTGTGGTTTCTAACCAGTGTCTTTCAATGCTGCTCATTCAGGAGAAGGCCCAAATAGTAGGGATGGCTTTGAAGACTGTATATCTACCACTCCAAATGTCTCAAAAAGTTCAGAAAAGGATTTCTAGAGAATTTTGTTTTTTGAACAAAGCCTTGAAAAATGACTACATAATCTCACCCATTTCCTTCTTTTTTCCTCAGCCATTTGTACCGGACCTGTCCTTTTAGGTAAGATTTTTTGGGGGGTTGGGGGGAGGTCCTGAGATGAAGGCCTCCAAGCTCTGGAAAGTGAAAAATTTGAAGCTTCTTGGGCCATGGGAAAAGGCTCTAGTTCAAAACAACTCCAGCAGATTTCCTTTCTGCTTTCCCAATCCACCCACTCAGTCCTATCTGGGTGGATTTTCCACCTCCAGAACCTAGACAATTTGGGTGGATTATTTTGCAAGGGAATTCCTCCACACTTGGCCCCTGGGGACCAAGACCCTCAGCCACCTTCAAGTAGCAAATTACTTTGTTATAGGTTCAGTAGGCACCTCACCCCTTTATGGACATTCCTTGGAAATTCCCTTTTGCCCTGCTGGGTTCTACCACTTCCAGGTCCTCTGCCAGGCTTAATGGAACCTCTGAACTAGAAATGAATCTCCTTCTGTGCAGCACATGGCTTGACCAGCAAAATGCAAGCTGGATTTTGGCCACCACTGGCCACCTCTGCGACGAATCTTTGGGCAACACAGAAACTGCTCAACCAAGGAGAAAATATGGCTGCACAGAGAGAATGAGTCTGTGGGAGGGGGAGGCCATGATGGTTCAAACTCAAGGGGGTGGGTTGTAGATTAGCAGTTTCTTTTACATTATCCCTTTAGTCTACTCTTTTTCTTGATGATAGAGGATTGACCAGGCAGGGACAGATACAAACTCTGCTAGGGGTGTGGAGGATCCTAAATCCTGCTAGATACAGTTTGATTCCTTAAGGAGTGCTGCTTCTGGGTTCTCAGTCCAAAACACAGGTTACTTGATTGTTCTTCTCTGGCCTCCAGGCCTGTCCCTCACTGCTGGCTTAGGGAGAAAACTGCTCTCTTTACAGGCTTTCCCACATCCCAAGATGTTGCTCCTTCACTCCCAGGTCCCTCTCTCAAGCCCTCAGCTAATAAAATAAGCTAAAGATAGCCTAGGACACAGCTGCCCTGACAACCCTTTCTGCTCTTCTCTCAGCCCTTTTCTCTCCTCAGGCTGCTTTTCTTGTACTCTAATTGTAGTTACAATGACACAAATGTTATTTCTAAATGACTCCTTTTGAATTATATTTGTACTCACATATATATGCCTTAAAGTTATGTGTGCAAGAATGGAAACTTTTCTTAGTTTTTTTTTTTTTATAGTTATATTTTAATTTCTATCGCTAGCCTACATTCCCCCCAAAATTATGGAAGAAAATGAGAGAAACAAAACAAAAGAACAAATTAAATATAAACTTTCCAATGTAGTTTAAAATCAGCCACGTCAGAGTTTTCTCAGCCACTTCTGTTGAGATTGATTTCAAGTTCTAAGGAGGTCGTGTAGAGTTGAGACAAGGCTGGCTGTGGGAAATCTGGTCCTTAGAAGTCATTACCATTCCTGCAGGCACTGGAGTCACCCCATGAGGCCCATGTGGTCATATGTTATACTCTTCATATCCCAATAGGTCATAGACCACCAGTCCAAATGTGGCCCCTTCAGGTACAGCAGACTTCTCTCAGTCAACTGTCCCACTCCATGAAGGCATGACAAATTTAGCTTTTCGATATCACTATATTACTTTGGGGCTGCAGGAGACTTGGTGGGATTGCCTCAAGCCTATTAAATGTGATCTTGAGGGCTGCAATGCTGACAATCTTGTTCATTACTGTTCCCTGAGATCATAATATAATATCTTGAATAGTATGCGCTCAACAAAAGTTTGTTGCCTGATGGGTTCTTCCCTAGTCTCTCTACACAGCCATCTCTATTCTGCATCTATGTCTTGGTAGAAGGGAGAAGATTTCTATTAGTATTTTCCACCCCCAGAGTTGTAGTCAGAAAGCAGAAACAACTCCTGGATTCCTCAGAACTTACATGGAGGTTCTGTGGATCCTCTCTCCTACCCCCCAGCCCCTAGACTCCTCTAGACTAAGTATTAGAGCTCTAAAACTCTGAGACTTTAATTCTTCCCTTGCTCAATGCTCTCTGTATTTCTTCTGAGCTGGGTTCTTGGACATGGGAAAATGTCGTAGGAAGCAGCAAGGGTGGGCAGGGGTCGATCATTGATATTGGAAGAGAGTCAAGTTGTCCAGCCCATATTACATCTAGACATCCTGCCACAATCTGGCTGCCATGGGGAGATACAGAGTCATGAAGAAAAAATAACACAATAGATATCATCTCTACACTGACTTGGGACTTTCACTATTTGACTGTGTGATCATATGACCTTCACTTTCATGTGGATCATTTTCCTCATCCATGAAATAGCAAGGTAGACTTGATCTCTGTAGGTCCTTCCAGTTGTGACCACCAGAGATTCTAAAAACTGATGGATTTTCAACAAACTTCTTTCTCTTAATCTTCAAACTCAAAAACAAGCAGTCATATCTAGGTGTCTATATATGGAATTTCTTGTTAGGGTTCAATTAAGAACATAGGGGAATTAGAGATGGGGTTCTGAAGCTCCTCTTCCTCTCCTTCCTAATTCTTCTTTTCTCATCCCCCAAATTTCCATACCCTCTGTGAATGGTAGAAGAATTTCAAGATGACTGAGTACTTGACTGAGTACTCTTTGGGCTCCTCCCAGATCTCCAGCCAATATCCTATTTCTTTGCAGGGTCTTCATCCAGAGTGCGACTGGTGGGAGGCCCCCATCACTGTGAAGGGCGTGTGGAAGTGGAACAAGAGGGCCAGTGGGGCACTGTGTGTGATGATGGGTGGGACATAAAAGACGTGGCTGTGGTATGCCAGGAACTAGGCTGTGGAGTAGCCAACGGGACACCCAGTGGTGTTTCATACAAGCCATTGGCAGAAAAAGAGCAAAATATCTTCATGCAAGAGGTCAAATGCAATGGGATGGAAGCTTCCCTGTTTCACTGTGAGCGGGCTGAAGATGTTTTTGATTGCTCGCACAATGAGGATGCAGGAGCCTTATGTGAGAGTGAGTATGGCAGAGCTCAAGGACTATCTGCCAGCTACCCCATGTAACCACTCTTGTTTACCTTTATTACCCACCGCAGACTTTCATACAATGACTGAATAGTTTCTTTCCTTCACATCTCACACTTTCTCATTTCGAGCCCCAGAGACAAACATTATCCTTACCTAGAATTGTTACTCCTCCTTGTTTGAATTAATACTTTTCTCTTTCAATCTATATGAGAACCTGTTTCTCATCTTCACACACACACACACATCAAACACTAATGAATTGTTGAAAAGTGTATCTTGTGTCTGGAGCTTGGGTCGGAGTTATGGGGAAGAAATGAGTTCACGAATTATAATATGTCCTTTTTCAGTTCTCAAGGTGTCTACCATCTAGTTAGACAGGAGATGTTCATAAAACCAACACAACATAAATACATGTACATTTACATATATGTTTATATACATAATGCATACATATTATAAATAAAACTCTATATAACTATGTAATTGTATTTTTGTTGTATTCTTTTGCTCCCTTCATGTAATTGCTTTCTATGTACTAATTCCTTCCTTCTCTGTATATACCTTCTTCACCATTAAACTGTGATTTGGCTGAGGAACTTCCATGTCTTCTCTTTGTCACCACAATTTGTTATCAGAGAAACAACCACTAAATCTTTGCACCCTGATGCTGAGGTCTCATTCCTATTTCTTAAAAATACTGAGTGTTGGGAGCACTAATCTCGGATACTTGGTTGATAATGCTGAAACTGAGCAAACATGCTTTTGGTCTTGGACCCAACATGTATGTTACTTTTGTATTTTATTATTTTTAAAATCTATGCAATGTCTCTACTTGCCTTTTATAAGAAACAAGAGGTAAGTGTAAAAATATTTGAAAAAATTTAAATGCTACAGAAATAATTAATGTTTTAACTTGGAACTGAGAAATAACATTCACTCCATTGATCCACTCATCCATTCTTTCAACAAGCACCTACTAGTCAGTGCTAAGGACTCTAGTATATATTGTACTAACACAAAGAACTGAGAGATAAGTTTTCTGAGAAGACTGTTCTTACAGAGACTAGACACTCTTTTCTTCTCCACTGTTCCAGAGAATGTGCGGCTGGCTGGTGGCCCTGGGCGCTGCAAGGGGAGAGTGGAAGTGAAGCACCAAGGGCAGTGGGGCACTGTGTGCAATGCAGGCTGGAACCTGTCAGCCGCAAAGGTGGTGTGCCAGCAGCTGGGTTGTGGGAGGGCCATTCAGACCCGAAGATGCTGCAACAAGGCTACCCAGGGCCAAGGAACCATCTGGCTGACGCAAGTGTCATGCTCAGGAAAAGAAGTGAGCCTTTGGGATTGCCCTTCTGGGCACTGGGGGAAGAACAACTGCACCCATGAAGAGGACACATGGGTTGAATGTGAAGGTAATGTCTATGAGACCAGAGACTAGGTTCATTCATGAATTTGATTAAATGGAATTTTATTCAACCAGTGATTACAGAGAACTACACATACATCAAATGACCATGACAGTTAATTAATTGTGCTGAACATCAATTCTGTTTTTATGTTTTTAATTTATTATTATTATTTACAGTTGACATTCAACATTATATTAGTTTCATATGCACAGCACAGTGGTTAGATAGTTATATAATTCATGAAGTGACCCCCCTGATTAATTTAGTATTCACCTGGCGCTATGCAGTTATTACAATATTATCGATTATATTCCCTATGCTGTATTTTATATCCCTGTGACTATTTTATAACTACCAAGTTGTACTTCTTAATCCCCTCACCTTTTGCACCTAGACCCCCAAACCCCTTCCCTCTAGCAATCACCAGTTTGTTTTCTGTATCTATGAGTCTATTTCAGTTTTGTTTTTTCGTTTATTTTGTTTCTTAGATTCCACACATAAGTGAAATCATGTGGTACTTGTCTTTCTCTGTCTGACTTATTTCACTCTGTATTATACTCTCTAGGGTCCATTCATGTTGTTGCAAATGGTAAGATTTCATTCTTTTTTATGGCTCAGTGATATTCCATTTGAATACACACACACACACACACACACACTCACACATACATATAGTCACTTCTTTATCCAATTGTCTGTTGATGGACACTTAGGTTGCTACCATATCTTGGCTATTATAAATAATGCTGCAATGAACATAGGGATGCATCAATCTTTTCGAATTAGTGATTTGGATTTCTTTGGACAAATACTCAGAAGTGGAATTGTTGGTCATAAGGCAGCTCCACTTGTAATTTTTTGAGGACCCTCCATACTGGCCACACCAATTTGCAATCCCACCAAGAGTGCGCCCAGGTTCCCTTTTCTCCACATCCTTACCAATACTTGTTGTTTGTTGATTTATTGATGATAGCCATTCTGAGAGGTGTGAGGTGATAGCTCAGTGTGATTTTAATTTGCATTGCTCTGATGATTAGTGATGTTGAGCATCTTTTCGTATGTCTATTGGCCACCTGTATGTTCTCTTTAGAGAAATGTCTATTCAGGTCTTCTACCCATTTTTTACTTGAATTGCTTTTTTTTTTTGGTGTTTAATTGTATGAGTTCTTTACAAATTTTGGGTATTAACCTCTTATTGAATGTATCATTAGTGAATATCTTCTCCCATTCAGTAGGTTGTCTTTTTGTTTACTTAATAATTTCCTTTGCTGTGCAAAACATTTTTAGTTTGATGTAGTCCCATTTGTTTATTTTTTCTTTTGTGTCCCTTGCCTGAGGAGTTATATCAGAAAAAATATTACAATATCAGAGTTTACTGCCTGTGTTTTCTTCCGGTGGTTTTATGGTTTCAGGTCTTATATTTAAGTCTTTAATCCATTTTGAGTTTATCTTTCTATATGGTGTAAGAAAGTGGTCTAGCTTCATTTTTTTTTGTATACATCTGTCCAGTTTTCCCAACATCATTTGTTAAATAGACTGTCTTTACCCCATTGTATATTCTTGCCTCCTTTGTCATGGATTAATGGACCATATAGGCATGGGTTTATTTCTGGGCTCTCTATTCTGTTCCATTGATCTATGTGTCTGTTTTCATGTCAGTATCATGCTATTTTGATTACTATAGCCTGGAGCATAGTTTGCTATCAGGTAGCATGATACCTTCAACTTTGTTCTTTCTCAAGGGCATTCAGCATCTTTAAAAACATTTTTTTTTATTAGTTTCAAGTATACAGTACATTGATTAGACATTTATATAGTTTATAAAATGCTTCCCCTAATTGCTCCTTCTCTCCTCTGGTTTTCCATCTAGCCAATATATTAATGCTAACTGCATTCCCTATGCCGTGCTCTCCATCCCCACGACCATCTATCAACTACTAATTTGTACTTCTTTAACCCTTCACCCCATTCTCCCAACCCCTCATCCCCTCTGTCCATCACCAAATTGTCCTCTATACTTGTGAGTCAGTTTTTGATTAGTTTGTTCTTTTTGTTCCTTAGATTCTGCATATAAGTGAGATCATATGGTATTTATCTTTGTCTGACTTATCTCACTCAGCATAATAACTTCTATATCCATCCATATCATTGCAAATAGTAGGATTTCATTTTTTTAATGGCTGAGTAACATTCCATTGTATATATGAACCATAACATCTTTATCCAATCATCTGTTCATGGGCATTTAGGTTAGGTCCATATCTTGGCTATTTAAATTGTGCTGCCATGAATATTGGGGTGCACAGATCTTAATGAATTATTGTTTTAGTTTTCTTTGGATAAATACCCCAAAGTGGAATTGCTGGGTCAAAAGGTATATCCATTTTTAATTTTTTGAGAAACTACCAGACTGCTTTCCATAGTGGCTGTACCAATAATCCCAACAACAATGTATGAGAGTTCCCTTTTCTCCACATCCTCGCCAACAGTTGTTCTTTGATTTATTGATGATAGCCATTCTGACAGGTGTCAGGTGCTATCTCATTGTGGTTTTAATTTACGTTTCTCTGATGATTAATATTTCCTCTTTGGAGAAGTATCTGTTCAGGTCTTCTGCCCATTTTTTAATTGGACTATTTTTTTTGTTGTTGAGTTGTATGAGATATTTATATATTTTGGATATTACATTCAGCATTTTTTAAGGTTCAGTATATATTTAAGGGTATTTGTTCTAGTTCTGTGAAAAACGCCATGGATATTTTGATAGGGATTGCATTGAATCTATAGATTGCTTTGGATAGTATGGGTATTTTAATGATGTTAACTTTTCCTATTCGTGAGCACAGTATATCCTTCCATTTCTTTGTATCTTCTTCAATTTCTTTCTTCGATGTCTTATTATTTTCCAAGTACAGGTTTTTTACCTCCTTGGTTAAATGCATTCCCAATGTTTTTGATGCAATTGTAAATGGGATTGTTTTCTTAATTTCTCTGATAGTTTGCATTGGTGTATAAAAATGCAACCGATTTCTGAATATTAAATTTGCATCCTGCTACTTTAATGAACTCATTTATCAGATCTCACAGTTTTTTGGTAGAATCTGTAGAGTTCTTTATGTATAGTATCATGCCATCTGCAAATAATGACAGTTTTACTTCTTTACATCTTTGGATGCTTTTTATTTATTTTTTTCTTGTCTCGTTGCTAAAGCTAGAACTTCCAATACTATGTTAAGTAAAAGTGGTGAAAGTGGGCATTCTTGTCTTGTTCCTGATCTAAGGAAAACACTTTTAGCTTTTCACCATTGAGTATGATGTTAGCAGTGCATTTGTCATATACAGCCTTTATTATGTTCAGGTATGTTTCCTCTATTTCCACTTTGCTAAGAGTATTTACCATAAATGGATGCTGGGTTTTGTCAAATGCTTTTTCTGCATTTACCAATGTGATTATATGATTTAAATCCTTCATTGTTTTTATGTGGCATTATCACGTTAATTGATTTACAGATCTTGAACCAATCTTGCTTGCATCTCAGGAATAAATTCCACTTAATCATAGTGTATGATTTTTTTTAATGTATCGTTTAATTTGGTTTGCTAATTTTTTGGTGAGGGTTTTTGCATATATTTTCATGAGGGATATCAACTTATAACTTTTTTTTTTTTTTTGTAATGTCTTTGTCTGGATTTGAAATCAAGGTAATAATGCTGACCTTGTAAAATGAGCTTGGGAGGCCTCCCTCCTCTTCAATTTTTTGAAATAGTTTGAGGAGGTAGCTATTAATTCTTTGAATGTTTGGTAAATTCATCTGTGAAGCCATCTTGTCCAGGACTTTTGTTTATTGAGAGTTTTTTGGTTACTGATTCGATTTCATTAGCAGTAATTGCTCAGTTCAGATTTTTAGTTTCTTCTTGATTCAGTCTTGGAAGATTGTGTGTTTCTAGAAATTTGTCCATTTCTTTCAGATTCTCCAATTTGTTGGCATATAATGTTCATAGCATTTTCTTATAATCCTTTTTGTTTCTGTGGTATCAGTTGTCACTTGTCCCCTTTCATTTCTGATTTTATTTATTTGGCTCCTTTCTTTTTTTCTTGATGACTCTGGTTAAAGATTTATCAATTTCTTTTATCTTTTCAGAGAATCAGCTCTTGGTTTGATCTTCCTGATCTTTATAATTTCCTTCCTTCTACTCACTTTCAGCTTTGCTTGCGGTTCTTTTTCTAGTTCTCTTAGGTGTAAGGTTAGATTTTTATTCGAGATTTTTTGTTTGTTTGTTTCTTGAGGTAGGCTTGTATTGCCATAAATTTTTTTCTTAGGACTGCTTTCATTATGGCCCATAAATTTGGAGTCATTGTGTTTTTGTTTTCATTTATTTCAAGGTTATCTTTTGATTTCTTCCTTGATTTCATTTTTAACTCTTTCATTGCTTGGTAGTATGTTATTTAGCCTCCGTGTGTTTGTGTGTTTTTAAGTTTTTTTCTTGTAATTGATTTCTAGTTTCATACCATTGTGGTCAGACTTCCCTTGATATAATTTCCATCTTAAATTTATTGAGACTTGTTTTGTGGTCTAACATGGTCTATCTTGGAAAATGTTCCATGTACACTTGAAAAAAAATGTATGTTCTACTGCTTTGGAGTAAAATGCTCTAAAAATATCAAGTAAATCCACTCAGTCTAGCATGTCATTTAATGCTACTGTTTCTTTATTGATTTTCTGTTTGGATGATCTACACATTGATGTCAGTGGGGTGTTAAAGTCCCCTACTATGACTATTGATCTCTCCCTTGATGTTGGTCAATATTTGCTTTATTTATTTAGATGCTCTTATGTTAGGTGCATAAATGATTACAATGGTTATATCCTCTTGTTGGAGTGATCTCCTTATCATTATGCAATGTCCTTCTTTGTCTTTTATTATAGTTTTTGTTTTAAAATCTATTTGTCTGATATGAGTATTGCTATCCCAGGTTTTTTGTTTGTTTGTTTTCATTTTCATGAACCATCTTTTTTTTCATCCCTTTACTTTCAGTCTGTGTATATCTTTCAATCAGAAGTGAATCTCTTTCAGGCAGCATATTTAAATGTCTTATCCATTCAGATACCCCATGTATTTTGATTGGATCGTTTAATTCATTTACTTTTAAAGTGATTATTGATAGATACATAGTTGTTACTATTTTATTGTTTATATTTATGTTCACCCTCCTTCTTCTTTTTAAAGAGTCTCTTTAATATTTCTTGTAATACTGGCTTGGTGGTGATGAAATCCTTTAGTTTTATCTAGTCTGGGAAACTATTTCTCCTTCAATTTTAAATGATAGCCTTGCTGAGTAGAGTAGTCTTGTTTGTAGGTCCTTGCTTTTCATCATTTTGATTATTTCTTGCAAGTCCCTATGGCCTGCAAAGTTTCCGTTGAGAAAGCAACTGACAGTCTTGTGGAAGCTCCCTTATAGGTAACTAACTGTTCTTCTCTTGGCTGCTTTTAATATACTCTTTTTGTCTTTAATCTTTGGCATTTTACTTATGATGTGTCATAGCGTAGGCCTGTTTGGGTTCATCTTGTTTGAGACTCTGTGCTTCCTGGACTTATATGTCTATTTCATATGCCATATTAGGGAAGTTTTTACTCATTTCTTCAAATAGGTTCTTAATCCCTTGCTCTCTTTCTTTTCCTTCTGGTAACCCTATGATGCGGTTGTTGTTATGCTTGATGTTGTCCCAGAAGTCCCTTAAAATATCTTCATTTTTTAAATTCTTTGTTCTTTTTGCTATTCCAATTGGGTGTGTTCTGCTACTTTGTCTTCCAACTCACTGATTTGGTCTTTTGTTTCATCTAATATGCATTTGATTCCCTTTACTGTATTCTTCATTTTAGTTATTGTATCCTGACTGATTCTTTTTTATGGTTTCTATCTCTTTGTGTCAGTTCTCACTGAGTTCATCTATTCTTCTCTCAAGTTCATTGAAAATTTTTATAACCAGTGTTTTGAACTGTTTATCTGGTGGATTGTTTGCCTCCATTTTATTTAGTTGTTTTTCTGAAGTTTTTTTCCTGTTCTTTCATTTGGGACATGTTTCTTTGTGTCCTCATTTTGGCTGCTTCCCTCTATTTCTATGTATTATGTAGATCTTCACGTCCCCATGTCTTGGCAAGGTGGCCTTATGTAAGAGGTTTCTTCTGGGGCTCAGTAGCACAGTCTCCTTGATCATCCAAAGCTGGTTGCTTGAAGAATGTCCCTTGTGTGAGTTGTGTGTGCCCTCTTGTTGTAGTTGAGCCTTGATTGCTGTTGGCACATCAGTGTGTGGAATTGACCTTCAGGCTGCCTAGCTCTGAGAGTTGGCCATGACAGCATCATACAAGCTGCTGTGTGGAGGCTGACTTCATGGAGTGGGATTTGCCTCAGCAGGCTCAGGTGCCTATTGAGGTTACACTTTTGATATGCTGCTTGTGGAGCTAATCAGGTGGTGCTCTGTTGTGATATGAAGCTGGTAACTGGGTATGTTGGTTGTAGGGCCTCCTGGAATAGGCTCCTGTGCAGGCCAAGTTCATCTGCTGCCTGTGACCAGCCCAAAGCTATCTGGTAGGAGCTACAAAGCAATGTGCAGTTGTTCACTGCCTCTCTGGACCTGGATGAGACCATGCTGTGAACCAAGGCTGGCTGCCACCAGTGCTGGGCCTGGGGCAGCTCAGTAAATGGCCTAGGGCACCATGAGGCCTGGCTGCCTATAAGGCTCAGCTGCTGAAAGAGCTTCAGACGATATGTGATTTGGGTGAGATGGGGTCTCAAGGAGTCACCAGGGTGGGGCAAATGGTGTTCGACAGGTTGGTATAGATTCAGATTTGGTGCCAGTGCAGAGCCTGGGGCCACTCAGCAAAAGGCTCAGGGCACACTGAGGCCAGCTGCCACCTACCTAAGACCTGCAGACCCTTGAGAGTTGTCCAAAAAAGACTACAGTATGAACTAGTGCCAGCTTCCAGCCACTGAAAGAGCCTTTGGCAGTCAATTCTATTATTTTTAAAATGGAGCTAATAATATCTATCTTTGTAGATGAAAATACTTTAAACAATATTAAGCACTATATTAATATGAACTATTATTATATTGACTTCTATATAATAGGGGTAGGGCATACAACATTCATTTCATGTACTTGTTGAATTCTTCGACTTTTAAAAACTACTAGAAATTTATTTATAAATATTAGCCTTTTATAAAATAGATGGGAAGTGAAAAGTTCCTAGTTAAGTAAATGGACCTGGGCCATATCGGTTGGAACCTAGAGAAGGGGCTATAATCACAAAAACACAGATGGAGAGTTTCAAAAGTTCTAATGGGATTTGAATAAGGATGTAAATGATCTTCTCATTTTTCTTGTTTACATGCTTCTCTCCATCTTCTGACTTCCTCCTGCACCCTGCAGATCCCTTTGACTTGAGACTTGTAGGAGGAGACATCCGGTGCTCGGGGCGACTGGAGGTGCTGCACAAGGGCGTATGGGGCTCTGTCTGTGATGATGGATGGGGAAAAAAGGAGGACCAGGTGGTATGTAAGCAACTGGGCTGTGGAGAGTCCCTCTCTCCTTCTGTTAAAGCCCGGAGAAGCTTTGGCCCTGGGGTTGGCCGCATCTGGTTGGATGATGTTCATTGCTCAGGAAAGGAGCAGTCCCTGGAGCAGTGCCAGCACAGGTTCTGGGGTTACCACAACTGTAACCACAAGGAAGATGTGGCTGTGATATGCTCAGGTAAGTCTTGTAGATGGAGTTTCATGAGGACTGGTATGGAAGAAGGTGTAGGAGGTGAGGGTGAACTTTGAGAATAAGGGTGGTTCTACTAGTGTCATAGAGCTGCCCCTAGTAGTCACCCACTTCACATATACTTCAAAGGATATAATTGAGGCAGTCTGGTAGTGGTGCTGATGATAATAACAATAATAATAAAATAATAAACCTATACCATTCAGTTATTGAATGCTAGAACAAAAATTATTGAATCAACACTCTTATATTAAAAATGAAGAAAAATAGTATCAGAAAAAAAAGCAACTTTCTAAAATCATAAAATTGCTTTTGAGTGATAGAGCAGAACTAGAATGACCAGTCTTTAATCTTAACTCAGGGTTAGTCCTCTTAGATGACCCTAACCCCCAAACCCTAAGTTTAAGCTATGGAAAATAGTTCCACCTCATTCTTACTGTTATCACTCCCCAGATTCTAAGTTAATCTATGGGAATAGGATAGGGAGCTCTTTGGGAATGCCCATGAAAGAGTCTTTTCAGAGATGCTAGGATACAAACCCTGAACTATGGACCTCTTCATGGGAGTGAAGGAAGAAGCCTTGTCCCAACTTAAGCCAAGAAATGCAAGTGTAGCATCTGGGTGGGTGACTCAAGAGAGCCACAGGTCTGAAGTCCAGCTTTGTAATCAGGGTGGGAAGCTGACTGTGGTTAAACACCCAGCTACAGAACTTGCAGAGAGCTGATAGTTGACTAAGAATGTGAGCAGCAACTACTGCCCAGAAAAGAAGGGATTTTGTGACAGAATGTCAGGGCTTGAGCCTTGCTGCTGCCGTTTGAAGCTATGTAATCTTAGTCATGTAACTGCTTAGAATCTGTGTTTTTATTTATAAAATAGGGAGACATTTGTTCCATTTACCTTGAAGAGTTGTGTGATTGTGTGAGGATAAGATACATTAGTATATGTGAATACTATTTGTGACTCACACAGAAGCTGGTTGAATAAGTTCCTGGGATATAACACCAGATTCTGTCTTGGCTCACATCAGTGTGGGATATGCGTGTAATTAGGCTCTGGGAGGGTCTCTTTCCTATTCTGGGACCCAATCTGCTTTTTTAGCCTCTTTGAGCTTGAATGAAATAATCTCTTCTTGGCAAGCCCGTATCCTCACTGTACATTCTTTTTCTCTTTGCAGAACAGTAGCTGGGCCTTCCTGATGTTTGATCTGACTCCCACATGCCCCGAGTGTCTGTTACTTTTTCATGGGCCCTGATTGGCACATCATGAACACTTATAGGCTTTGGCTACTACTCCCTTAGC